GAAAAATAGAAGTCAAATATAAACTATATGTGTGTGTGGTTCCCAAGATTTCACTTCGCAATGCGTCCTTTTCTTTATTTTTAGATCGATAAGCCCGAATAATTGGCACACATGCACACTTTTATGGGCAAGATGCTAGACAATACTTGAATATGATCACATCATTAATGCATTTAAATCACGCGTCCAACTATTGATGACCTCGACGTGCCGAATGGGAAGAGGATAATTCTTGGTGTGTGACATTTTCCCTATTCGAATATACTTACACCCTAGAGATGGCAATGGGGCGGGGCGCGGACTTGCCCCGTTTATATATATATTTTTTTCAAAAATTTCTAATTAACTATTTTTTGTTTTTAATTTGTAGTTAATTATTTTTTTATTCTTCACGGGGGCGGGTTCGGGGCGGCCCCGCCCCGCCCCGCCAACCTGTCGGGAGGGGTTTTTTCGCCCCATTCGGGGCAGGGCCGGCCGGGGCGGGGAGGGACGGATTTTTTTGCCATCACTATTACACCCTCATAACAAGAAGTAAGGTTCACATCAACACACATTTCTCTCATTGCAAAAATAATGACACCATTCTCTTGTGGGACGAGCATCCACATAGTGCTCTCTCGCAAATCTACGCACAGTAATTATGTACATATCGCCTCCAACGCCAACATTCATCATATGTCCCCAAAACCTTTTTCGCAACGACGCACACCGTTGATGTCCCCACAACCAATATATTTTGTGAGAATTTGGGAAAACATTAGCAAAGTAAGGAAGCCAATGGGTTGTCATATATCACAAACGTGGAATATAATGACAAGTATCAGTGTCCGAGTGATACAATATCAAGCAATATTTCCTCGTTGGGTGCCATTCGGAGAACCTGACTTACTCTGTGTTCATCTAATTCTACCTCTGTCATCCGAGTTCCACTGTCCTTAGCGAATTGGAGACCATGACGTAGAGTAGGGATTCAGCCACTTCGGGGTCAACCGCTCTCAATAACTCGGAAATTTTATTATAAACTCATATAAGTTTTGAAGAGATGAAGTGCCATGTTAAAATCTCTCGAGGTTTTAACTGAAGGAAAAATGAGTCTCTTTAATCAATAAAAAGCACTAATCCTAGATTCCAAACACTCTTGAATGGCAGAAACATGCAGAGAAGAGTTCATTGGATTATTGAATAAGATGACTCCAAACGATGGATATTGACACCCTGACGTTCCTCATCTTTATATGTTACTGGTAGCATATTTTGTTTGCGGAAGAAATCTTCTACCTTTTTCGGAATAAGTCAACACTTTAATGCAAGAATTGAATTAGAGCCTTTTTCTACTTAGAGTTTGTTTGAGAGAGATTTTAATCCAATTAAAATTGAAAATATAGTCGTTATTGAGTCTCACTCGTCTAATAAAAATCAATAATAACGGCTAGTTTTTCAATTTTAATCCGATTTTAATCTTTACCACAAGCTCTTATACTAATCATAATGATTAATTATTTCAGGCTTAATCGAGGTTAATTCTTAAAGTTGTGAGTATATTTGGATTTTTGTAATTTATGTATTAGATATACATATTGAGTACTTTAGTATTTTTCTTTAGAAATATTGAGGCATCATAAAATTCATGATTTATTGTGTTTATAAGTTATTTTTCTACGAAGTTAGTAAGAGGTCCCATCGCCTAATCCGCAACTCCACGCAAGCCATTTAAAGAAATTAAAAAAGGTAAGTCTTATTTTGCCAAAGTATCTATCATCGCTAGAGACTAATTTTGAAATGATTTTCTATAAATATAAACAACTTAAAAGCCCAGCAAAAAATGCTAGATATTTGCCCCCCGCGGCACATTCGAGTTGGTAAAGGACGGACATTATTGGGCTTGCAATCTCAGCGTGGAGAGTTCGATTTTTGAATGGAGTAAAAAAAAAATGCTAGATATTTTCAATCTCGATGGCCACCTAAAGATGCATATAGAGTAGGTATTGAATTTTTGGATTGTAGTGCAAATAATCTAAAAGAGCACTGATATTTTCTTAAGCGTGACACTATTTTCCGTTACTAAATCATTCATTTATCAATCGCCTTTCATTCCGTGAACCTCTTTACAATAACTTACAAACCAAAAATCTCTATTTCATTTGAATTCACTCGTCAGGCATATCACGTAGAACCACTGATGCTAATGCTAGTCTAAGAGCTTGTTTGTGAGAGATTTTTGGAGGAAGAATTGATTTTGAATAGTGACAGAAATATGTGGTTGAAAAAGAAGAAAAAATTATTGATGTGATGGAAAATATTATTTTATTGAAGAATGTGTGGTTGAAAATGAGAATTGATTTACTGTAGAAAAATTTAATTCCTCCCAAACAGGGCCTAGAATTTGACGAGAAATTAACGTGGATAAAGTTGTTGGACTTCGTCACAAAATTTTAATATAAGCTTAAGAATTGATTTTGAATAGTGATATGATGGGAAATGTGTGGTTGAAAAAGAAGAAAAAATTATTGATGTGATGGAAAATATTATTTTATTGAAGAATGTGTGGTTGAAAATGAGAATTGATTTACTGTAGAAAAATTTAATTCCTCCCAAACAGGGCCTAAATGTTTTCAATTCATAGATTATTTTAGATGGGGCTCACGTCCCTACTTTAAGATGATTATCAATAAATGACACCTAAATGCAAACTACCATTAATCTTACTTTGATCCGGTACTTTGTACGTCAGAATTCCAGAAGAATAAAAATTATCGTTACTTGATATATTACAGTGTGTTAAATGTCTCTTTAAAATTTAAATATTTGCTTCTAATGTATTATGATTAGGTCGACGATGGCTTCATACGAGGAGCGTGTTAATCACGACAAACTGCAATTGATCAAGTATTTTGATTCTAAAAATAGCTATTCTTCGTTCATTTATAGCTATTTTTGTCTACTAAAAAATTAATAATATATATAAATATAATAAAAAGAAAAAAGACAAGAGGACCTCAGTACAAATTACCTAAACAGTCGAGGACGTCAATGTAATTATACAAAACCTTACGCCATCATAGCATGAAGGAACCAAGATTACGAAGATCTATCCCGTAATACACCGGACCCTAATTCGCTAATCAGAGCAATACGACAACTCAGAAACTCAAAAAAAAAAAAAAAAAGAGAGGTAATTTCTTCCTCTCAATCGTGTAAGCGCACAAGTATACTGAAATTATTATTATAATTATTTTGTTTTTGTGTAGGAAATAAGGTGAAGAAGCCCCGGTCTGGCGAGTTATTTTTTTGCGTTGTTCGAGAAAATTGGAGTTCGGTTGCATAGTTAATTTCAGATGTGGTATGTTACTGGCGACAAATGTGTTTAATTGGCTCTAATTTCGCTGGATAGGGTTCTGTGGCGTGAGTAATTATATTTGACCAGTATTCGTTCCCACGAATCTTGGGCTGAAGTTGGACGAGATTTATTTCGAATTTGATTTGGGATTTTCTCCTGAGTTTTTATTGCAAACCCCACATCTCACCAACAAGCATTACTGCCGATGGTTTCTCAGAGGGAAACTTTATTTTTTTGCGGTTTTTTGAACATTTTTTATTTTTTCTTATAATTTCGTGTCTGGTTAATTGAATAGTGAAGTAAATAGCAGTGAACCATCGGCCTTTGAAATTCACGATTATTTAATTGGATAGTGGAAGTCATAGGACATTAGTTTTCCAAAGTACACACCAGTGAACAATTTAGCGTTTCATGTTCTTCGAGAGGAAAGGGGTGGGCAGTTGGGTACGTTTGGGATTACAAGTTTATGGTATTTGAATATTTATAAGATTTATCATCATTATCTATTGTGTACATAGAATCAGCTTATGAATGATAGCTGAATGTGATTAGCTGCATTTGGTGGTTTGGATTGAAAATGGGCTGATTTTTCTTAGATTTTTGTTTCAATTTTGAAGCCCCTATTTGAATCTGTTTCAAGTCTCTCTCTTGGATAGATGCTAATATAAAAGTTTCAAGCACCCAAATTAACTTCTGATTTTCTCCAATGTGGCACCAGGACACATAATAGAGGCAGGGGTTGAAGTAACATTACGAAACTAACTACCTTAGATGGCAAAAATCAATATTCTTTTCAGAGAATAGAATAAAGAGTAATTCAGTATGCCCGAAGCTGGAACATTAACACATTTTTGACTGTCTTTATCATCATATGAATTTGTAAGTTTTGGTCTGCCAGTTGATCTAAAAGAGAAGTCCATTCTGAGATTTTCTTTATCGCCCAATATATATATCTTTTTTTACAAATACAATTGGCATAGCTTTTGTGACATTGCCAATTGTATTGGGTCGGCGAGATAAGGTCATCATCATTGGACCATAATTACGAACTTGAATACAATTGACTCATATTCAGTAAATTTTGGGGCCAAATTGCATATTTTACAGGATTGTTTTCTTAAGTGCATTTCAAGGAAATTTGAGTAAGGTAAATCGATAAAATATGACAATCGTACCTCATCTCATGACATAAAATGCTTTGTTTATGATAGATGTCAAGCGCTTGGACAAATATGAGCTTTGGAATCGTTCATAGGGATGTAGATTGGGAGTGGGAGAAATCAGGGAGGAGTTTTTGGTATATTTTATATAATTGGAAGTTCTTGCTCCCTATGTGAAGAGCTATTCATCTGCAAAAAATTTAGGGAGGATGAGGGGACCAAATTTTAATTCAAATAAATTATAGCTTTGGAGCTTCTTGGAGCATACGAGTAATGGAGCTTGTGGAGCACGCTCACCTTGAGGATTGCTCTCTTGGTTTGCTTCATTGTTTTGTTTTGTTTTGCTTTTGATTTGTTGTTATCAAATATTTCTCACGAGGAAAGAGAATATATAGAAATATACTGAATTTGGTATTGTTTCTAATTTCTTAGCTTTTAAATTTTTCCCGATTATGAAATATCAGCAGCATTGCAGTAAACGTGATTAATTTCAAGGACTGAAAATGAGTGGCCGTTTCTCTCGCACGATCTATGTTGGCAATCTTCCTGCAGATATAAGGGAGTCAGAAGTTGAAGACATATTCTACAAGGTTGCAGTTGAATATATAATGTAACTTTCTCATAATTATTTTGGTTTCCTGGGCTTCTACCTTTTATTTGTTGTTCTTCCTAATTAATTTCAAGGGGCAAAAACCAGTCTCGCAGAAGTCTTGTCGTAATAGAACTTCATAAATAGTAGCACGTGCAGGGATGCGTAAAATTAGCTCTTGAAGTGTATAATAACTGAAACATTTGTAGAGCGTGTGGAACCAATTTATTTGGCAAGCTAAGTTCTGCATCAGTATTATTCTAATACGATTATGTTGATTGCATATTTTTCACCGTCGCAAATCTGCCATTCATCTGGCAAGGGAATATTTATGTGCCATCTTATGACATGCCTTTTGTAATTTCACATTTACTAATTTGCAAAGCTAAATCAAACTAAATGTTAAAAGTGGATGGTAGCATTTTAAAGATGCCCATAATCGGTGTCTATTCTTGAATACAATATCAGATGGATATAGAAGGATTCTGCTAGATACTGATTGTTAGGCCCCCAACATCAACCCCCTCACCTGTGGTAGCATATTTATAAATGATCAATTCATGACTGTGGGGTTTTTGATGTTAAAAGGATCTCAAAAATATTTTAGACCTATTTCAATGGAGTGGTGCATCACTATTACCAACCACAGTTGGAGAATTAAGCTTGCGTTTTTGGATTTTAAATTAGCACGGGAATGATGGTTTCTTGAAACAGCGGACACAACTTTTCTCGTTCCAGTGTTTAATTTTTTTATCCCTTATCAATGCTTTGTTCTAATTGAGTTCAATAATGGCTTAGATTTTTAGACATTTCTCTCTCTTTCACTTATAAAAGCTGATTGCTTCTTTATAATATTTGTAATCTACTCTTGCAGTATGGACGTATATTGGAGATTGAATTGAAGATTCCACCTCAGCCTCCTTCTTATTGTTTTGTAGAGGTATTTTTTTACTAAAACATAAATCGACAGTTGTATGCAGTTTTACATCAGACCTACATATTTGTATTTTTTGCCATTCAAATTCTTGGATAGTTGAGGAAATAATTGGTCATCTGACAAGTTTGAATTTTTACTATGTTTAGTTTGAGGATGCTCGGGATGCAGAAGGTGCTATCAGGGGCAGAGATGGCTATAACTTTGATGGGGGTCGACTGAGGGTGAGAACAGTTCCTGAAAGTATCAATTTTTTAAAACTAGTTATTGTTTACCGCTTCTTCGTTTTTGTTCCCTTTTTCTGTTGATTTACTCTTGCACTTTATCTACTTCTTGTTAGGTCGAGCTTGCACATGGTGGCAGAGGGCCGTTGTCTTCAAGTGATCGTCGGGTTGGCTATGGTGGCAGTGGCGGAGGAGGCGGCAGTGGCCGATTTGGCACTTCGCGTCATTCTGAGAATCGAGGTGCTGCCTGATGTACTAATTGATGGTTACAGATTTGGATGATGCTGACATATATTTCCAGTGTAAGAATGCTTTCAATGTCTTTTCTCTTAAATTGTTTACATGCATACAGTTATTGTTCGTGGGCTTCCATCTTCTGCTTCTTGGCAAGATTTGAAGGTAAGGGGAATATCTTTTCAGCTAGAACCATTTTTTACTTCCTTGTTTCTGGAACTATAGTATATAACTATTTATCTTGCTGCAAAATGTTTTAGGATCATATGCGAAAAGCTGGGGATGTCTGTTTTGCTGAAGTTTCCCGTGACAGTGAAGGTACATTAAGCATTTACAACAATACTAATTTGGATATGAAGCATACCAGATATTAATGTCGTTTTTCGAATATGTTGATATTGAACTTATGTTATTGTATTCAGGAACCTATGGCCTAGTTGATTATGCTAATTATGAAGACATGAAATATGCTGTAAGTTTTTGGTTTACTTGTCTGCTGATGTTAGGCAACAATTATTTGTTCCATTCTAGTTGCTAACGTGCTTTTGTCTTACTCAGGTCCGGAAACTTGATGATAGTGAATTCAGAAATCCCTGGACCAGAACTTATATCCGGGTATTTATATTCAACTTTTGCTTTGTTAGCATGAAAAATTAATTTGAGCCCCTCAGAGTGACACACTTTCTTGCAATTACTGATGCGATCTTGTAGTGTTATTTCATCTTCGATGAATTCAACTGTAAGATTAAGAACTTCTGGATTGAACTCCATGAATATGAAAAAAATCTTCACGATAGCAGCTTACCTTGAGAAATAATAAACTACTTGTTTTTTGGTACATCGATGAGTTCAGGTAAGGGCATATAAGCGCAGGCTGTCAAGAAGCCCAAGTAGGAGCCACAGTCGAAGCAAAAGTCCAAAAAGGAATAGAAGGTATTTTGTAGTTTGGAGTATATTTGCTTGGCTTGCAAAACAGACTCTATTTGGTGATTCTTAACTAATATGTTTTGTTATGCAGCAAATCAAATGATCGATCTGTTTCCAGATCACCGTCTAAATCTCCTGGTAAACCTTCCAGGTATATGGGAATGAATGTCTCTTCTAATTCATTTGCATTTATTGATACATTACCCTCATCAACCCTTCATTATCTGTCTGCTTAAATTTGCAGAGCCAGATCAATGTCGAGGTCAAGGTCAAGGTCCAGGTCCAGGTCCAGGTCCAGGTCGAGATCAATGTCAAAATCAGCATCTCCTCACCAGGTAATAACAATAGGATAGACATCTATGAGTATTTCCAGTTAGTGCATTCTTCCTGCAATTGAAATATTATAAATTATGGGCTCGAAGTGGCATGGCTTTCAAGCTTGTTTATTTATTTCTATAGGATGTCTGTTATTAACTTTTTGCTTAAAATTCACAATGTAATTGATTTCATTCCAGGCAAGATCGGGCAGTGGCTAAATTCGACTCTAGCTCATTCCAGCCTGCAGTTTTTTAGCACACGACTGATGTGCAGCTGCGATGATACTGTACCTGAACGCATCATATAAACTTCAATTTAGACTTTAGGGATGTCTTGATGGTTTGTGGATTAAATAGAGTGCTGATTATTCTCTTATGAATGTTCTTTTTGGGGGGCTATATTGGTATATGTTTGCTTCATTTACCAGCACTTTGACCTTGGAATGACCTTTGATTTCATGTGGATTGGATGTTTTCAGCTTGTTGTAAGAGACCCTTTAGATTTCGTGTGGATATGAATTAGGTTTACTTTCATACAACAAATATAGGTAATGCTTTCAAAAGAAGATGTGTTCTATATTGGTGTTAAAATATATAATAGATTGTGTCATGATAATTTAATCAAAATATTAATTTTAATATATTTTATAGTATATTAAAATGTATATTATTTATGAAAGAAAAAAATGTGAGATACATAGCGGAAATGATTGCCCTGGAATCCTGAATCTTTGAAGGTCATGAGGATGGGGTCCAAGACCTTTGATTTCTAGTACCTTGGATCCTTAAGCTTTGAAAAGTGCACTAGGATGGTCCTGTTACGAATCATTAGTTCGATCGTTAAATAGTCAATTTTTTTCCTTCAAAATGACTAATCCACTCCTTTTCTAATTTTTTTTTTCCAAAAAGAAAAAGAAATACGAAGGAAACATAACAATAAAATAAAAATTTGAAACCCTCCTTCCTCTTCTTATGTCTAGATATGTCAATGGGCCGAGCTGAGCCTTAAACCCATGAGCTCGGCTCGTGGAGAAACGAGCTATGAGCTCACGAGCCCAGGGCTCTTGAGCGGGCTCGGCTCGTGGCTCGTCAATTTTTTTAGTGTTTTTTTCACGAGCCCCACGAGACGGCTTGTAGGCTCGTGCCCACGAGCTGCTTGTGAAAAAACGGCTCGCCTAGCGAGACCATCGGTTGCTCGTACTCGGGCTCGTCTTTTGATGAGTCCGAGCGGCTCGTGGCTCGGCTCAATTGCCACCACTATCTTATTCAGAATGACTACCGCCAACCATCTCCTATCAGATCCTTAAATTTCTCCATTCTCTTTGCAACCAGCCAGCCCCTTCCAGGTTTTTCCAGAGATTTGCCACCCCTGTCAAACTGCTCCACCAAACCCAAATCTCTTCCCCAATTACACCATCCCAACTCACAGCAGCGAATTATGCTATTTATACCATTTGTGATACACTTTTGTTTACCCGACTCTACCTCCTCCCTCACATGGGGGTCGGATCCCACATCCAATAAATGCGTGGGACTCGACCCCCATGTGATGGAGTGGATGGAGCCTGGTAAACCAATATGTACCATTTGGGGTACATGTAGCAAGATTCTACAGCAGCATTCACCACTACCTACCAAAAGTAATTAAAATTTATTTTTAAGTTACTTATTTTTGTTATTATAATTTCTGCACTTTATATCTGTACAAATAAAACTATTATTCTGTAGATTATGATACGGGGAAATGGAGCTTTTGTTTGTTACTAGTTGGAATTGTGTTGAATGGAACATAATTCTTTTTTATTCAACAGCCGAATGTCCTGGATATGTGAAACAATTTTGCCTACTGCCCAATTAATACCATCTAGAAATGATTCACAGTGTTGTGCTCGAAATCGAATGTTATTATCGTGGCAAGCTTTTCGAGGTTGTTCTATGGCCGCATATCTTCTTATCTGGCTGAGCGTTATGCCATACCATAAGGCTTACATTTTGTTAGAGCTCACGAGCTGAATATTTCTGTCCTTGAATCGGATTGCGTGAACTTGGCGGCAACATAACGATCCACCTTTTTATGCCCAAGAGGGTGTGTTGGTTGTTAATAAATTTGCTTAAGTTTTTTTCTTTTCTCACTTTAATCAGCGTGCAGTGAATTGTGTAATCAATGTCATTTCAATTTTCGTTCAAACAACCTGGAATGTGAGTCCCTAGAATTCATTTTCGAATTCGTCACATTTGAATTTCGATATTAGAAAAAGTTAGATCTAGTTGTTTTATATTTTTCAAAAAAGAACTTGTTAAGCGTAACCAAACATCCTATCACGACCTTTTAATCAAAACATTCAGAAGGCCTTAAGTCCATTAAAATTGCATTCTAGAAAATTCCTCCCACAGCGTAATTACGCGAGAACATGAGGAGGTAAATGTAATTTGACGAAACCTCACGCCCTTAACATAAACCCAAATCGAGATCCCTCCCGATCGAGTGCAGAGGAGAAAAGAACGTCAGAAACAGGGGTAATCTCTCTCTAACCAAGAGAATCGTCCGTCAATCTATACGATAGACTAATCATCGAAAATATTCGTTAAAGTACTTATTTTTGTTCCAGCTTGACGAGGTGTTGGCTTTTGTGGAAGGAAGTTGAATTTCTCGCATTCAGTGCTGGGCTCCTTTTCAAATCTGGTATGTTACGGGTTATAATGTCTCATTTGCCTCTAATCTTTGCTCGATAGGGTTTTTCCTGGATTTTCGATCTGGTAATTATATTTGTCCTGTATTAAGGGCTCTGAACTTGAAGTTGGAATTAATTAATTTCGAATTTGAGTCTGGGATTTCTCTAATTTTTTATTTCAAACCCTACATGTCTGCGCAAACCAAATTTTTCCCACTGGGAAACTTCTAGTTTGTTTATTTTTTATAGTTTGATGAGCATCATTATCAATTTTTCGATCCTACCATAATTTAATTAGGTAATAAAAGTTATAAAGCAGATATTTTTCAAAGTAAGTGGCAGTAAATGGTGTATTTGGGGATTTTCCTTTATATCCTCTTTAGAGGAAAGGGGCCGTTCCATTGGAGAACTTTTGGAATTATGAGGATATTGCATTTGTAAGTTGAGAAGATTCATCCTTGCTATTTATTCTTTGTTGGAATTTCCCATGAATAGTAATTGAATTGGATTCATGTTGTCTACCCCGAATTTGTTGGAAACAAGCTTGGCTTGCTGTTATATTTTAATGTCTTAAAAGAAGTCAAAGAGTGTAAGACTATTTGGTAGCATGGGATTGGGAATTGGAATTGGAACTATAAATAATTTCATTTGGCCATTTTTTCTTGGTTTCTTGTTTCAATTCTAAAGTCCCTATTTGAATCTGTTGCTAGTCCATCTCTCTCTCTTTTGGAGGGATGTTAATTGCAAACTGTCCTAAATGATGGAAGACTCTCTCCACCCATGGCATAATGGCACCTATTAGAGGCAGGGGTTGAAGTAAAATTTTGACACAAATTACCTTAGACAGCAAAAAACCTACGATACTTTTGGAGAGCAGAATAGACAAGTAAGTCCATAGGCTTGAAGTATGAACATTCACGTTACAATAGCAAGTATCAGGATCTTTGATTATCATAATGTTCTTACTTTGAGCTGACCGTTCCTTGTGGCGACATATATTCTTCATGCTTACGTTATCATGGTTTATTGGAATTTAACGAGGCTGGTCCAGAGTAAAGTCATGAGATCAATCTCGGCCATCCTTGCAATATTTTTAGCTTTATTTTTGGCTCTCGAGAAGATCTTTGCACATAGTTTTGGTTAGATGATTTGCATTTAAATTACTTGCAATTTTGTCTATGCTTGTGCTTTGGTTTACACGATGTTGGCCCAGTATAACTTTTCTTTCACATAATTGAATAGATTATTTTTATGCGCTTGCAAACTATATTATGTCTGGTAGCATTCTTAAATACGAATTGCGATTCAGCTCTTAAATCAATTAATTTAGTGGCAAGTCACATAATTTCTAGGATTTCACTTGGATTTCAAAGGAAATCTGAGTAAGGTAAATCGGTAAATCTATGACAATTTTCACTCATCTCATGACACAATGCTCTGTTTATGATAGATTCCAAGCGCTTGGACAAATATGAGCTTTGGAAACATGCATAGGGATGTAGATTGGGAGTGGGAGGAATCAGGGTGGAGTTTTTGGTGTATTTATATAATTGGAAGTTCTTGCTCCCTCTGTGAAGAGCTATTCATCTGCAAAAAAATTAGAGAGGATGAGGAGACCCAATTTTAATTCAAATAAATTATAGCTTTGGAGCATATAAGCAATGGAGCTTGTGGAGCAACGCTCACCTTGAGGATTGCTCTCGGTTTGCTTCATATGAATTATTTTTTACTTTTGATTTTTTTGTTCTCAAAATATATCATATGAAGACAGAAATGTAAAGGAATATATTTAACTTGGTTGTGTTTTTAATGTTGCTTTAAATTGCTTCCAACTATCAAACATATTCAAGCTGCAGTATTGCAGTGAACACAATTACTTTCAAGGGCTAAAGATGAGCGGTCGTTACTCTCGCATGATCTATGTTGGCAACCTTCCCGCAGACATAAGAGAATCAGAAGTTGAAGACCTATTCTACAAGGTTTGAGTTGAATATTTAGTCTATCACTGTCTTAAATATTTTGGTTTGATTGAGTTGATGTGAGAGTGTCTGGATGTTATTTTGAAGAGTATTCTCCTGCATTCTACTAATGCATTTGGTATCTGCCACTGTTACTTTTCTAAAGCAGCGTTGTTTAGCTACAATTTACAAATGTGTTATGCTTTTGTTATCTCTAACTACTATCTAGTGGCTAAACCCCTTTCCCAACCAGCTGAGGACCTTCAACTTTGCAGCAGCAAGTCTTGTAAGATTACATTGAGTGCATCTTTTCCAACCATATAAATCTGTTATTCATTTGCTATGTGAATAGTTGTTGATATCTGTCTTTGATGCACGTTTGGTAATTTCACATATATTGAATTGTAAACTTTTAATAAGATGAATTCATAAAATTCATTAAAATGACATCCGTGATATATCCCCAATTTAGACAACCCTACCCCTCCACTCACTCGATTACTAATTGATCAATTCATGAGTCATGCAGCCTGTAGGTTGTGTCGCAAAATAGATCCTCTTTAGATTTCTTTCAATGAAGTGTAGCATTACTATTTACTATCACAGTTTTTATATTATGATTGTGTTTGGGGTTTAAAGTTTTCTGTGGAGTGATTGTTTCGGTAATCATGGGACAATATTTCTGTTTCAAATGTGTATACTCTTCTCAGTACCTGCTTCTAGCCAATGGTCACTTAAATTCTTAGTCATTTTCCCTTTTCTATTTGATCTCTAAAGTGAGTGCTTATTTATAGTATTTGTATGCCATTCCTGCAGTATGGTCGTATATTGGATATTGAATTGAAGATTCCACCTCGCCCTCCTTGCTATTGTTTTGTGGAGGTATTTTTTATTTTTATACTCTCAAATTTGTAGCTTTTTGGGCTATGTATGTATACACAGAAGCAGCACCCAGATATGCATGTTTGCGCTTGTCTTTGGATTTCTTGAATACTCGAGGATATAATCTGCCATCTGACTTTTTTTTAAAAAATTTTTAACCATGTTTAGTTTGAGAGTGCTCGGGATGCAGAAGATGCAATCAGGGGCAGAGATGGCTATAACTTTGATGGTTGTCGACTGAGGGTGAGGACATTTGGTGCAAAGTAGAAAATTTTTTTCCCCGTTAAAACTAGTTTTTGATTATATGATACAGCGCAAGTCTATATGAGGCATAGGAGATATTAGAATTTATGATGGTTTTCTTTATATCCTTTATTTTCAATTATTGTAGTTTTAAGACAATTAGGTTGATTGTTACTTATCTATAATCTAGGGCATAGTAAACTCTAGATCATTGTTATTGAATACAACCTGAGAACTCTCTAACTCCTTTTCCTTTCTTTTCTATGCCTTATACTGCAAATTTGGTGCTCGGTAATTGTGTTCCGTTTGTTCGATCTCCGTCCTCATTATACCTTCTTCAGTCTTTTCCTTGTTATTGATTTTCTTATGAAATTTATCTCCCCGTTAATTTAGGTTGAGCTTGCACATGGTGGCAGAGGGCCACCACGTTCAAGTGATCGTCGTGGTGGTTATAGCAGCCGTGACAGCAGCGGAAGCCGTTTCGGCCCTTCTCGCCATTCTGAATATCGAGGTGCTGCCAAACTTATCAATTGATGCTTACACTCTATTTTCACTATAAGATTGTTTCAGTGTCTTTATCTTAGAATGTCTACATGCATACAGTTATTATTCGGGGACTTCCGTCTTCTGCTTCTTGGCAAGATTTGAAGGTAAGGGGAAATTTTTGAGTGAGAACTTTGTTTCTTTTTTTTTTTTTTGCAACTACAGCATTTATCTTGGGTTTCAGGATCACATGCGAAAAGCTGGGGATGTTTGTTTTGCTGAAGTTTCCCGTGACGGTGATGGTAAGTTATTTTACTAATGGGGTAAATGTGAGATATTAATGGGCTATGATGCACTGACACTCCTACTAATACATCATGTCTGCGTCCGACACGTCATGTTGGAACCCAACATCCCAAAATTCCTCGGACACCCGAAGACATGTATCCAACTAGCCATAGGACCTTGTCCCACTTTTTATATGTTTTTTTAAATTACTCGATATTTAAGGGATGCTTTAGAGACACACCACGGCAAGTGCCTGACATGTAATATGCCGTGTCTTGGATAAAATATTATAGAAGAAATATATAATATATAAGTTAAAATTTAAAGAATTTAAATCAACATGTCCTTAATGTGTCGGTGTTCTACTTTTTTGAAAAATCACTTGTCGGCGTGTCCATATCATGTCCTGCACGCGTATCCGTGTCTGTGTCCGTGCAACCTTGTTAATGGGGTTTATGAACATTTGTTATTGTATTCAGGAACCTTTGGCGTGGTTGACTACACTAATTACGAAGACATGAAATATGCTGTAAGTCGTCGTACTCATCTTCAAAGTGTTTAACCTTTTGTGCATCCATGAATTGCTCCAATCTAGTTGGTAATGTGTTTTTGTCTTGCTCAGATCCGGAAACTTGATGATAGCGAGTTTAAGAATCCTTGGACCAGAAGTTATATCCGGGTATTTTTTTTATATTTTTTCTATTCTTTGTATGTTTGTCTTTTCTTTTTAAGGGATTGAATTTTCAGAGAGAGCCATTTCTCAACCAAAAAAGGCCCGAGACAGGCACTTGGAGTCCAGTTTTCAATATTATGTTAGAAGTTAGATTTGGGCCTCTCTAACTACACATTGGTGTAACCTCGAATTATATGGTCGGAGGGTTTTAAATCTTACAAGATATTAATTCGTAGTACTGAACTCTAGGAATTCATAAATAATTTCATTATGAAAGCAACTATCTTGTGAAATAATAAACTCCTTTTCCTTCGTAAATCGATGAATTCAGGTGAAGGAACACAAGCGCAGTCCATCAAGAAGCCCAGGCAGGAGCCGCAGTAGAAGCAGAAGTCCTAGAAGGAACAGAAGGTATTTTTTAGTTTGAAGTATATTTGCTCTTTTTCTAGGATATACTTTATTTGTTGATCCAAGTAATATGTTCCTTGTGCAGCAAATCAATGGATCGATCTGTTTCTAGATCACCATCAAAATCTCCTGTTAAACCGTCCAGGTATTCGAGAATGAATGTCTTCTAATTTTATATGCTCTATGGTTATAAATATAGCGCACTAATGAGTAATTGGTTCTTTTCTTGCTTAAATGTGCAGAGCGGGATCAAGATCAAGATCAAGGTCAAGATCAATTTCAAGATCGGCATCCCCTCAACAGGTAAACTTTTCATGTTCCGACCAAAAGAATAGCAACAAGCATGCATGCATGCAGAGATGTTAAAACAAGCAGTTCGATGCCTGGATTTTTTAATTTAACTTGTTTTTTTATAAAGAATTTTAGTGGAAAAACTTAAATAATCCTAAAAAATCCAGCAGGGGCTCGGTTAGTGGGCCGTGGACCTGGACAATCCCTGGATCTGGGCTTTTCATGGTTGGGAATGGACAGGTTACCGCCCCCCTGTTTTGACATCTGTACATGCATGAGTTTTGCATCCCATTCCCACAATTGGAAGTTATAATATTACTGACTCGAGGATACGTGGCTTCAAGTTTTGTTCATTTAATATTTTTTGGGTGTCCAGGTTGACACTGTTAAGAAATCTTGGCTATGTTAATTTCATTGCAGGCAAGATCTGGAAGTGCTTAATTCTGTTGCAAATATGCTATGCACTTAATGGAACCCTGAGCAGACAGTTTCTTAGCATATGAGTGATATGAGTCGAGCAAGGACAGTTGACTGGATAATGTCAAATTATAAGATGGAGATTATACTTTGGGATGTCCAGAATCTAGATGTTCTTTTCTTATTTTCTATTAATTGGCTTGTGGATCTAACTAGGAGTGCGAGCACATTATATTAATGTCGTTTTGAAAGCTGAGTCTGTTAATTGTTATTTGCGTCATTGAGTAGGATTTTTATCTTTATGATGGCACCTGGATTTTCTGTTGAATTGGATTTTTGTGGTAAAAACTTGACGATCTCATCTGTCAAGTTGCAGTCGTTTTCTGGAGTCAGATTTTGCATTTGAATGTGTTGTGTCTCTTCACTTCACAATTTTTATTGAGTTTTTAATCTTTTGACGACGTGAAGTGGTGTCGAACAGGCTGGCTCGGAAACAAAGCCCCTGGACTGCCATGCACACAGATCTGGGCTGCCCTGGGTTTTGTGGTGGACCGGGCCAATCCCTGCTTACCGTTTTTCTCTGAGGCCCGTCTCAAGGTGGGCTAGGCTTGTAGACATCATCACCTAATGGTTTATTGACAGTTGACACACACTGGCGATAGGCCTCTATCTAAAACCACAAGAATAATATATATTTTTAGTAGAGATGTTTTACTGTCTCGTGGCAATTGGTTTCCGGTAGGGATGACAATGGGATGTATATGGGACGGACCGATCATTTTCACCCTCGTTTCGTTATGTATTTTTGTCATCTTGCCTGTCTTCATACCTGGTTAAGGTAGGACGGGACGTGATCGAGGTTGGGCAGGGTAGGTTCCTTGTCCCATTTATCGTCTCATTTGTTTTTTCTTTTTCTTTTATTTATTTATTTTATTTTTTTCATTTAATTTTTTTTTGTCTTTAATTAATAAATATTATTTTTTTTTCAATTTGTTAATAACAACTTATGTTCTCTTTAAAAATCATAATAAATTTTTTATTTTTGTTTGATAAAAAAAATTAAATTTGAAATTAACTTTAAACGGGACAGATAGTGGGGTAGGGATTGTTTTTCATACCTACTTTCGGGGTAATTACCCCCGTCTCGGTTAGGTGGGTAATGTTGGCCATCTTCAAGATGAGAACTCGCGGATATCGTGTTGAACGAGTTTTTTTTGTCATCCCTAATGTCCTAGTTCATAGCTGAATGAGGTTGTTATACACTTTAATGCATTCTTCAAAATAAGGGAAGGTTCTCCGGTCAGCAATAATAAAGCAGTCGACCCATTGCTACCTAAAAGATGATGCATTTCAGAATCCATTACTCAAAAGAACGGTATATTTGTTTATTATCCCGTCAAAATTACTAAAATGTTTATTCTTCATATGCTCTTCAAAACATACGTAATTGGTGATTGGATGGTAAAAATAAAAATCTATGTTTATTATATTTACACAACATTTTTTATTTATTGCCTCACATTTTAATTGCACTTAAATGTTCTTAATCTTTATTCATTATAACAATTACGTTCTAATAGTTTTTCAAGTTATTCTTATCCTTAAACTTTTCATTAACTAACATATTTTGTATTTAATAATAGTTTTATATCCAAAAGTTCGTTGAAATAATGTAAAATAACTTATTTTTTTCATCATATTTTCAAATAATAAATAAATAAAAAGTGCCAAAAATTCTTTTTCCATCATTTCAAAGCATAAAAACAAAATATTTTGAAATAAATTATCCTCAAGGATGAGACATAATAATTAATGAAAGGCTGAAGATAAGAATTCGACTGAAAAAAGTTTTAAGAAAAATAATTGTTATAATAAGTAAACACTGAAGAGTTTGACCGCAATTAAAATGTGGCAGCAATATGACCAATCTAAAGTTATATCCTTTCGGGGTTCCAGGCAGGATAGTGTGTTATCGTGAATTGTTGAGGTTTTCCAAAAAAATAAAAAAAATTGAAATTTGAATTTGTAATTGAAGCTAGTTGATTTGGGATAAAAAAAATTGTGAAATGAAACAGTGGTATTTACTATTTGAAATAGACATTCAATAATTTGCTAGTGTTTGGCTCCGATTATCTTTTTTCAATTTTTTTTCTTAAATTTAACCACACATTCTCCAAATAAAATAATACTATATACAAATCTAAAACTTTCCATCATTTTTCAATCAAACATTCTTCCATTAATCGCTATTCCAAAATTTATAATTTCTACAAAATGGTGGCCAAACACTAGCAAAATTATTTGCCTTTTCAGTATTTTCCAACAAAATTAATGTTATATTACCCATCACGAATTTTTATCGAGTTCTGAGGATTCGAATCCTTGGCTTTTCCTGTAAAAAATGATTTAGAATAAGTTTGACACTCTTTCATTTATTTTATGGTTTGCTACAAGACCATTTTCAACCACATTCACAAAATAAAATATTCTACGCGTGTACCAAATTTTTTTTCCTACTTTTTAAACACATTTTTTTTTAAATCACTAATCAAAATCAATTTTTTTACCAAAATGGTTTTTAAACGCACTTTAGTTGAATTCTAGTACAAATTTCTTTAAAAAAAATTCTATAAAGCCCAATAATAAGCCCACCAATAAGAATCAGTCCATTATTGTCTACCCTAGTTTTGGTTCATATATATCCTCCTCTTCGCTCCCACCACGACTAGAATCCTCGCTTATACTATCATCTTGAAGGTATGTTTCTCCCACTAAATTTACTAAAACCTTAGTTTTTCTTCAATTCTTCTTACTGTGATTTGATTTTTCAGTACTAATTTAAATTAAATAGTTTCGATCTTTCATTTTGGTATTTTGCATTTTGTGTAGATCACAAGGATTTGAAGTAAGATGACGGTTGGAGAGATCGCCTGCACCTACGCTTGCTTGATCCTTCACGACGATGGCATTCCTGTCACTGTAAGTTTTCTTTCAACACCATATTATAACAAAGATGTAATTTATATGCATCAAAATAGTTTCGGTATTGAACTGTACGTGTTTTTTTATGTTTAGGCTGAGAAAATTGCGACACTTGTGAAAGCGGCAAATGTGAGTGTGGAATCCTACTGGCCGAGTCTTTTTGCTAAACTCTGTGAGAAGAGGAGCATCGAGGACCTTGTTACGAACGTTGGCGCTGGTGGAGGTGGTGCTGCCGTCTCTGTTGCGGCTCCTGCCGGTGGTGCTGCTGGTGGTGCCGCCACCGCAGCTGCCCCTGCTGCCGAGGAGAAGAAGGTAGAAATATTTGCATCTATTCATCTTAAAATGTATATAAATGTACTAATTCTTCTATATTATTCTAGTTATCATTTTACACACTCATTTTGTAGATTTTAGATTGTATATTGAAATATCTGATGCTGAATCTCTGACTGCTTGTTGTTTTTCGTAGGAGGAGCCAAAGGAGGAGAGCGATGACGACATGGGATTCAGCTTGTTTGATTAGAAGAATCAGTGTTTCTAATTGTTGGAATACTTAGGTGATTCATAATTTATAATTTGGTTCATAATTTGAGATTTTGATTTGTTATAGTTTTTTTAAATGATTAAATGTTGGAGTTTGAAAGTTATGCAGTCTTATAAATTATAATTATGAATCCTCAGTTCACCATTAATATATTATAAAATATATTGGTAATCTTAATGAAGTTATGCACTACTCTATTTTCACATCGATGTATTAACAATCAAATGAATTTTCCGAACCTTTCAATTCTAGAAATCCAAGAGACTGGAAGATCATCGTCAAAGTAAGTCCAGATTCGCACGTGAAATTGAATTTTATATTGTAAAACATATATATGACATATTTGTATTTATTTTGAATTGGTGGTATGCAAATTTAATTATATATTCTTGTTAAAAATAAAATTAAACTGGTTATAAATACTTATTTTTTACCTCCAGTTTGATACCGCCTCAGGTTCGACCTTGATTGAATCTTTCGACTTTTGACTCTTTTCTTTTCTCTGTTCAATGTTCGGGTTGATATTATATATATAGAAAGAGTTTAGAAAAGCACCAAAATCTTGAATTTGATTTCCACATATCAATTTCCTTTTACAATTCAACTTCAAAGTTCCCAACTCCTTCCATATAAACAGCAAACCAATTCTCGCAAAATCCCTTCTTCAAAACTTCTCGCGAATTTGTGTTTTTTGTGCAATTGTGAAATTAAGCAGCAATTGACGTCAATTTTCAGTTCTTTTGATGCATACTGTGCCGAGTTTTTGGGCCGCGAGGTTAGCGTTTCTTTCTCTCCTCGTAATGGAGATGTGCAGCACAAACAAGGGCAAGTGGGTTCAACCAAATTTGATGGGGTGAAGAAGGCCAAACAAGTAGATAATTCATCCCCGGAATCGAAGAAATGGAAGATCATCACCAAAGGAAGCCAAGATTCGCACCTGAATTCGATGGCCTTCACTGTTTTGAGACAATTATTCGTTTTATTTTTTTTATTTGGGTTTATGATTTGGTGTAATATCCAAATTTCTCGTATATAATTAATATAATATTCATTATTTTTAGTTATTTGAATTTCTTTGTTGATCTATTATTCTCGTTGGTTTAAGCACAGTTAATGAAATAAGTATGTTTGACAAAATAAGTTACTTTTAAAATTAATACGATTTACTTTTATAAACAATCAAACATGCTTTAAAATTTGGGGTAGAATCTGTACAAGGATTACAATGGTTTTAGGCAGAGTTTATGGATGAACCGATCAAGATTCTGGTATCAAAATATGGGATTTTGTTTAATTTTCTGGGTTTGTCGATATCCATTATTCGTGTTATTGCCTAGAAAAGGCAATAGAGTTGTCACATGTTTCATTACGCCCGCATTTAAGACCACCACTTGCATAAAATCTAAAGATATTTTCTTGTATGTGCGCTTTTATGACCCATCAAGTCAACTTCGCAAAAAGCACCCAGTAGAGAGCTTTTAAGTAATGTTTTTAAAATCGAACCGGATCGATCAATTCAACTGAAAAACTAGTGAACTGGACTGAAATCTGGTCTGATTACGTGGACAAGGTTTTGTCTAAATTCTCTGTGCATGAATCTAAGTCTGTAACTTTACCACTTGCTTCTAATTTCAAATTAAGTAAAGACCAATGTCCCATAGATGAATCTAACATGGAATATATGAGTAAGGTCCCATATGCCAATGCTGTTGGATCTGTAATGTATACAATGGTCTGTACAAGACCTGATGTGGCCCATGTCATTAGTACTCTAAGTAGGTTCATGGCTAATCCTTGCCCTTGAATATTGAACTGTTTTGAAATGGCTGTTGAGATATTTAAGAAGATCATCTAAATTGGGTATGTGTTTTAAATCTTGCAATGAGGGAATTGTATTGAAGGGTTTTGTTGGTTCTAATTATGCTGGGACATACACATTAGGAAATCTGCTACTGCATACATGTTTATTTTATGTGGTACTTGCATTAGCTGGAAGTTTCAATTGCAATCAATTGTTTGCTTTGTCAACTATAGAAGCTAAATATATGACTACAACTGAGGCCACTAAATAAGCTATGTTTCTGAAGGGATTATTGTATGAGATAAATGAATTATCTAATCCAGTTGTTGTCTATTCAGATAGTTAGAGTGCAATTCATTTGGGTAAAAACTTTATTTTTCATGAAATAACTAAACACATTGATGTTCGAATGCATGTAATTAGGAATGTAATTAATAAAGAATCTGTGTTACTTGAAAAAATCCCCATTCAGTAGTCAGTTCAATCCTGCTGATATAGGAACAAAGGTACTGCCCTTAAACAAGTTTAAGTCTTATTTACAAATCTTAAGAATTGGTACTGGGTAATTTTGATTTTCATTTCAAGTATGTACATCTGATGCAAATGGTGGACTGTAAAGTTGCTCTAAATACTTTAGTGTTATCTTTATTCCGTTTATAGTTTTGTTACCATTGAAATCAAGGTGTAGATTTATTGGGTTGCGATGCCAAGGTATTCAGTCTAATATGTGGGCAATGATGAAGCTGGGTTTGTCCCATTTGCAGATTTTATAATCCATTGCATGATAACCTAAGTCCCAGACCCAAAACTGTGGTACTTGCATTAGCTGGAAGTTTCAATTGCAATCAATTGTTTGCTTTGTCAACTATAGAAGCTAAATATATGACTACAACTGAGGCCACTAAATAAGCTATGTGGCTGAAGGGATTATTGTATGAGATAATTGATATAGGAACAAAGGTACTGCCCCTAAACAAGTTTAAGTCTTATTTACTAATCTTAAGAATTGATACTGGGTAATTTTGATTTTCATTTCAAGTATGTACATCTGATGCAAATGGTGGACTGTAAAGTTGCTCTAAATACTTTAGTGTTATCTTTATTCTGTTTATAGTTTTGTTACCATTGACATCAAGGTGTAGATTTATTGGGCTGTGATGCCAAGGTATTCAGTCTAATATGTGGGCAATGATGAAGCAGGGTTTGTCCCATTTGCAGATTTTATAATCCATTGCCTGATAACCCAAGTCCCAGACCCAAAACTCAAATCCATAAGGAAAGTCACATTTTGTAAGTGCAAATTTAGTGTTGCCTCTTAAAGCATAAAGTGTCAGTTGCTCTGAGCTGTTGATGATTATCTAAAATCAATGGTTTGTGTGTGGGCTATATAAAGGGACTTATACTATTGCCTTGAACTCACTTTTGACTTTACATTCTTCTTGAGCCTTCTTCTTTTCTCTTAGTAATATCGTCTGTTGGTTTCTTTTTTTCACTTTTATTAAAACTCATTCCGTTTTCTGAGTAATCCTTTGTAGTGTTCGTTTCTGGGTGATTCCGTAAGTGAGAGGAGAAAAGGAGAGTGATCTTTGAGTGATTACTTCTGGCTCATTGAAGTTGCGTCACTTTTTCTTTAGGATTTGGATATTCTGTGGTTCTGACTTGTACAAAAGTGTACAATGATCTGAGCCCATTTTGATCGATACCAAGATGCCTTTGGTTGATTCTTGATTGTAATAGTTTGATAGGTTCTTGATCTATTGCACTCCTGGATTGTTTGTTGTAAGGGTACTCAATTAATTAATTAAAAGAAACGAGAAGTGAATTAAAGAAAAATTTAAGTTTAGAATTGGAAGTATAATGTGAAAGGCATTAAAATCTAATGTATAGCAATACACCAATGGTTATAAACTTAGAATTATTCTAGTGGTTCTACTGCAGCAAGTGGGATGGTTTACAAGTTAATGCTGATGGTAGGATTGGTGCCAAGTTGCAGTGAGAGAGCATCTGATAAAGTCAGTATTGATTTGTTTCGAAGAAAATAATGATTAATACAGATAAACATTTGACAATTCCGAAGCCATACAAATGAAAGATCTCAAGAGTTGTATCCAGGTGTCAAGGTACTATCCATCAGGGCCAAATATCTTCTTCTGGGACCCACTACAAAATATCTATGTATATTTTATTAAACATGGGGTTTATGTGGTCCGCTATTTTGCTACTTCCACCAACCAAAAGGAGGAGAGAGAAACGGAGATACACGCGGAGAGGTGTGTGTGCATAGAGAGAGAGGGCCAATAGAACCAATCCAATGAGACTTTTTGATTGGAAGACTTAGGGCGTGGCGAATTTGGGCCATACGTATGAGGCTTCTGATATTTTGCGTATCTAACTTTATGTACAGATATGCCAGCACTTGTGATGACAACATTAAATTTGAGCCATCCGATGTGAGGCGGTTAAAGAGGGACTAGAAAGAGACACCACTGGATCAATTCAAGAAATGTGGTATTCAGATATTTATGCTGTCAGTAAAACTACTGGCGAGAAAATCAAAATCTCTGTTATTCTTCTGTCAGGACTAGGAGGAGCTATCGTGTTCTTCTTGCTTTGAGAGTTGTACAGTAAGAATCATGGAAATGGGTGAAAGAGGAATGGAATTGCAAGTGAATGAAACAGAGGAAAGTCAGATGGAGAAGAAGAATGAAGGGGATGGTGGTGGCGGAGCTGGTGGTGGTTCTTTTGTGAAGTGGGAGAGGTTTCTTCCAAAAATGGTTGTGAGGGTGTTGTTGGTGGAAGCTGATGATTCGACTAGGCAGATTATTGCTGCTCTTCTCCGGAAATGCAGTTATAGAGGTTAGTACCACGCTTTATAATTTAACTCAGTAAAGTTTGTTAAACTACTCCAGCTTAAACGAGATGAACTCGCCAGATTTATTTGTTCATCAGAAGAAATGAATTCTCAGCTTTTATTTTATCATAATATTAAACTGTTTCGTCTGAAAACTTAATCTGTTAGAGCGTGCTTAATTATTTAACGAGGCTGAGTGCTCGAGGGAATTGTTAATGAATCATGTTTGATAACTTGTCTCCGTAATCATTTTCATTTTTCTCCATCGTAGTTTCTGCACAGCCTTGTCATCCACACACCTGAGTAAGAATTCGTGATTGCGGCTGCCTCTCAATCTCCTTTTCTGTTTTCTTCTTTTAGTGAATTTTCTGGCTAGATCTGGTTGAGAATTTGTGGGACAGGAGGCCTGAAATGTCACTAAACAATAATTCTTCCCTTTCACTTAATCCATCCACGAAAGTTGCAGTTAGTATTGCTCTGCTTATAAGTTGTAGCTAGATGGGTGCAATTATGGATTTGGTGAAGCCGAGTCTTATTGTTCTGTCATAGTATGTAGGACAGAATGAAGCCCCCTAATGATTCAATACCAACGTGCATCCACTTCGGAAGGTTTTGGATTAACTTTCCTCATGGTCCTTTCGCAACCCAACCCCCAATTATTGAACTATGTGGAGTCTAATTATACTTGACCACAAATTGCCCGAATATATAAAGATTTAATCGGGGGTCGTTTTAGGGAAGATATAGACCAAGAGGCGTGGAATTTGTATTCATCTTTTCTCCATTAACACCAATACCTCCCTATAATGATTTGTCAACGTGAAAGAGAACTCACACATTTCTTTATTTTCCACAGTTGCTGCTGTTCCAGATGGTTTGAAAGCATGGGAGGTATTGAAAGAAAGACATCGTAACATAGACCTCGTATTGACAGAAGTCGAGCTTCCATCCATCTCTGGATATGCACTTCTTACCTTAATGATGGAGCATGATAACTGCAAGAACATTCCCGTAATAAGTACGTCAAATTTGCGTTGTGCTTAATCCAAGAACCTTACACTCCAGTTATTTTAAGATTATTTCTGCATGTTTGATGCACAGCGTTGTGTACAATGGACAAAATTTTAGCTTTTTCTTTTTTCTTGATATTCTCCACTACCACTATAGGTAATATTTTGTCAAAATTTCTTCTTCATTATGCAGTGACGTCGTTGCACGATTCTGTTAGCACAGTTTATAAGTGCATGTTGAGAGGTGCTGCTGATTTTCTTGTCAAGCCTGTCAGGAGAAATGAGCTAAGGAACTTGTGGCAGCATGTCTGGAGGAGAAAAGCAGTAAGCTCAAGCCTCATTCTTCTCCAATATCTCATTTCAATTCTTGTTTAAACTAAAAAAATTCTAACGAAACTCGTTTCATATTATCAAATGTCAGTCAAGTGGCAGTGGCCTCGGGCCTCCAGATGAAAGTATTGCTCAACAAAAGGTTGAAGCCACAGCTGAAAACAATGCTGTAAGCAACTATTCAAGTGGTTATATGGCATGCATTCAGATGAATCGTGAATGCATTGAGAAAGGAAGCGATGCTCAGGTAATTTTTTCTCTCTTTACATTTTCTTTGAGACGTACTATTGTTCATGCTTTATATAGTAGTAAAAAAATCCATAGGTAGATAGACACCTGATGTTCACCTTGGACATTGCTGATACGTTCAGTGGATTAGACTGTACTAAATAATATTAAGGAAGAGAAGAAAGCTAAAACTTTGTCCAAACACTGTCTAATACTGCATACTACACAATGTTAAGACCTTCCCGAATCAAATATATTATGTATTCTAGCCAGTTCAAGTTGTTTCATTGATATCCATTACTCAGCGAAACAGATCCCCAGAGCTCAAGATCCTTTCCTTTTACCACCGTTCCTGTAAGAAATAGGACTTTAAAAATGCATTTTTTGAACCTTTTAATCCCACCATAACTAATAGAAATCTTTTCCATTCTTGGAGGAAGAAAAGTTCTGGCGTCCGAAGACGACAGTAATAGTGGATTGTTTTCATTTGCAAATTGCGGTTCTCGGCCTAATTTTGATTATCATGTGACAATTAAGCGTATTATGTGTTATTTATGTTCCATAAATTAGAAAACATGCTCATGGTTTAGAGTTATTCAACGAGTTATCATCCAGAAAGCCAGAATTATGTAAACCTTCCACTTTCTGTCTTCTGTGCAGAGCTCATGCACAAAGCCTGAAGCGGACATTGAAGGAGCAGATACAGGACACATACAGGGTTTCTCACAGAACAAGTGGAAAACCAGTCGTTCAAATGACATAAATATATCGATTCAAGAAAGAAATCAGGTGGGCAACAGATTTGTGTTGCCTGATCATGATGGTCAAGGTAATGTTCTTGTTTTTATGTTTTTTTATGACCCCTTCAGTTTTGTGGTAAGGTAAATGTCCAACACTTCTGTATATTTTGTCATAAAAAAGGTACGCAGGCAGCTGCCAGCATCGGTAATGATACAATTCATAAAGAGGATAAAACTTCTGGTGATTGTTGGGGACGTCTTAATGTCATTGGTCAAACTCCTGAAAGTGATCATGTCCTATTGAATTCTTCGAGAGATGCCATTGACTTAATCGGAGCTTTTGATAATTACCTCAAAGGCACTTGTAAAAGTTTCAATTTTAGTACTGGTGGAAACAAGAATGATCTTTTGCCCCTTTCGCCCCTCTTGGATCTCTCTCTCCGAAGATCTGATCCTAGTTGCTCCGTGAATCAAGTAACTGATGAAAGGCCTAAATTAATCCATTCCGATGCATCAGCTTTTTCTCGGTGAGTTTCTACTTGCCCAGACAATGAGATTGACCTGTCTCTACTTCAAAATCATCTTGATTTCTACTAAAGTGGCGCAAATGGAAAGCTTTGACAATTTTGTTACAAATCAATAATGCTTCAGAAATTTGTTTTATTTTAGCTGAAATGAAATGAATAATGTAATTTCTCTGTTTCTCTTTTTGGATGGATAGAAATAGATGTCTTATAAAGTAGAAAACCTTGAATGCAGATATGTTAATAAGACATCACAGCCTCATCACTCAACATCGCCTAGCAACTGTAATCAACATAAAGACTATGAAATCAATTCCAATCACACCCTTGATTACGAGTCGAACACACATGTTCCGACGTTAAGCTCTCAGAAATGCGTCTCTGTGGCTACAGTTGTACCAGCACAAGCCAAAATCAGGCATCCTTACACTGAGCAGAAAGTTGCACCTCTCCCGATTCCAGTCCGAGGTTCAACGTTTGAAACTCTAGGTAACGCGTATGGTTCTTCAATATCTCCAATATATTGCCCACAAGTCCGTTCGTTTTATCCATCAAATGATCAAACTGGGGCGTCTCAACAGTTTCATGATCTGATGGATCAAAGAATCAATGATGTCACTGATCAGGGCAACATCAAACAGGAGAATACCTTGGAAACATTTGAGGGACGAGGACATATATCTTCCGCTACAGACCACAGTACAAATAGCAGTTTCTGTAATGGCACTGTAAATCATCTTTACAGCATTGGATCTGGAAGCCATGTGGTCACGTCAAATGAAGTGTGTGGGGAATCACGACTAGTATCAAATCAAGAAGCGGGCAAAATAAATGCAGTTTCAGGTTTTAAGGCTACAACAGAGCGTGGAGATGAAGTCATCCTCCATGATGGAAACTCTCATCCATCTGTTCAAAGAGAAGCAGCACTAACAAAGTTCCGCTTGAAGAGGAAAGAAAGATGCTATGAGAAAAAGGTACATCGCTGATATTTTTCATGATCAAGATGTCTATGTATTCTAACTGACGTATGTATACCAGTCCTTTTAAATTTATTCTTACCCAGTTAGATTTGCTTCTGATCATATCATAATTTGGTATTAGACGTACAATTTATTTATTTAATCATGTTTCCAAAGCATCGGAATAAGGTAGAGAATAAAATGCATTGCCTTCCTCTTGATTTCCCATTTGGAGATGTCGTATGTAGAGTTGTGAATAGATTTGTTTAGGATTTTAGTTGTGACGTATAATAATTATTGCTTAACGAGCCATTGTTAGTAAACTAAACCCAGAGAAAAGGATATCTAATAGGAAATGGAAAACAGTTTCTCATTGTAACTTGTTCTCTCTTTGGTTTTGTTAAAGATTTCCAAAACTGAAACCTGTTCACTTATGGACTTCAATCACAGGTGAGATATGAGAGCAGAAAAAAACTTGCTGAACAACGTCCCCGGGTGAAAGGACAGTTTGTTCGTCAAGCTCAAAATGATCCGGCGCCTGGAAACTCATCAGCTAGTTAGATACTTAACACAAGGTCATTAGAATGGACTCAAACATGGACAAACAGTGACAGGCAATTAGCGTATCAGTGCATGTTTGGTACGTAATATTAGAAAGAGATGCAATCAGCCTCATCAGTGCATGTTTGTTACGTAGTATTAGAATTAGAATTTAGCTTTTTTTTTTCCATAGTACTATTTGATATTCTATAGTCCATCTTGCCAAACATGTCATTAACTAAATTGTTGTAAAATCCTTACCTTTAAGGTGTCCTCTGTATATCAACTCAAGGGGGGCTGCGGTTTCTTTTTGTGCGCTGTTTATATAGAAAAATCTTTCCATAAACGTATAACTTTGTTGCGGGAACATACAGCTCAACTTGATTATACTTTGTTATCATTTTCTATTTTCATTTCCACCAGAATGATGTTTTTGTTGCAGTTCTGTACAAAATTTGTTCTCTGAAAAATAGGGTTCTTATTTGAGGCAGATTTAACTAAGAGTGAAGAATAGAGATCAAGCAGTGAGTATCATATGATATATTTAGAAGGATCAAGTTCGAGACTACATATCTGCATTCAAGCATGTACATAAAAGCCAATGACTTCAAAACAATTAACTAAGACTGAAAAGTAGAGATCAAGTAGTCGAGTATCCGCATTCAAGCATGTAAATAAAAGCCAATGACTTCAAAACAATTAGATTCATTGTGCATGTCAAGCCATATGCATGAAGCCACACTCAAAAGGTAAAAGAGATGAGTTTTTTGTCTTCAACCTTGTATAGTACCACTAGTGACAGACATGATGAGAAAGGAAAGGCCACAATTTATGAAAGGAAGGGTTCAGATTAAAAATCACTTATAATGGATGGGGTAGACCAACTTTTCCATGATTGAAGGGCTAATTGTGAAAATAAAGTTTTACATAAATCATATCGCCACTATTTCAAGGTTCGTGGACTTTGACTTCAAATTTTATTGAGAAGAATACCTAGAATTTTAGCTCTATTCGACAAATTTTTAAATATGAATATTAAGAGGAATAGTATTTTGTCTCAGAAAATATGCGGATAATAACAAGTAGCAATTGTGAAAATGTGATTGAAATTTATATTTAATTTTGACTGAGTTTATAAATTGTAAACAAATGAATGTTAAATTATTGTATTATCTGATTCGGTTCGGTTCGATTCGATTCGATTCAATATCTCGTCCAGAACTGCATACAGTGTTACATATGAAACTGGAACATAGGAAATGGACAAATTTATTGCCCGTCCAGAACTGCATACAGTGTTACATATGAAACTGGAACATAGGAAATGGACAAATTTATTGCCCAACACCAATTGATGGGAAACGCAATTGACTACTACACTATCTGTTGGCACTTTTGAGAAGTCTTCAACTCTCCTTTTAATAATTGTGAAAGCCGTCCCTAAAGATTCCTACTAATTTAAGAGTTAAAAAGAATTTCTAAATTGTAGTTTATCTATAAAGTTTGAACGAATTTTAGAATATCACTCTCTCAAAAATAATTAACCTCATTTTTAGAGAATAGATTTTATAAATAATATTTTTCTGAAAAATGTGTAATTAATAAGTAAGATTTTTATTTTTTTTATTTTGTATATAAAATTATTTTATTGGGAGAATGTGTAATTGAAAATGAGATCAAGAAAAAAAATGAGTTTTAAAGAATGAGATGAACGCCCTTCTTATTAATTGTCATTTAGAGATTGTTTGTTATTTAATTGTGATTAAATAATTGAATCATTCTTTAAAAGGGTTGTTTTATTACTACTATAATTTTTATTTCATATACCATATTTTAATTACATTTAAAACTCAATTTTTGCTTATTTTAGCAATTATTTCCTTAACTTTTTTCAGTTGAATTCTTATCTTCAACATTTCATTAATTAGTACGTTTCGTCCTTGATAATGACTTATATCAAAACATTTTGTTTTCATACTTTGAAATGAGAGGAAATTTATTTATTTTTTAAAAATATGATGAGAAGATAAGTTATTTTACGTCATTTCAACGGATTTTTTGGCGTGAAATTGTTATTAATATAAAATGTGTTAACTAATGAAAAGTTTGAGGATAAAAATGACATGAAAAATCGTTAAGAACAGAAGTATTACAATGCTCAAGTGTAATTAAAATGTTATGCAAGGACGAAGTATATACTAGAAATTCATAGGTGAAATCTCACATTTACCCCCCCGGGTCTTTTGAACTTCCCTCAAGAGAAAATAATTGCTGCTTTTGCACTTTAACCCCACCATTTCCACTCCTTCCTTTCCTTTAAAATGCTTTCTTATAAGTAAACAGGTAGGGCTTAAAAAACAACTTTTTGTCTATCAAACCGGAAATAATTAACTTATTTCGACGCCAATGAGAATTATTTAAAAATAAGTCACTTTTTCTTGTAAGTTGCTTAAAAGAAACCCCATCACTTCCTTTCCTCAGCTTATCAAACTTCCTCCTCCTCCGTGTGTGTGAAAATGTCTAAAGTCCATGAAAAATCCCCCAAAGATTGTGCTAAAAAAAGATTCAACATCAACAAGTTCCACAAGAAGTTCTTCTTTTCTTTTTCTACATTTCTGCTCGCTATTCTATCCCTTGTCTTCCTTGTTTGGCTCATTCTACACCCCAAAAAGCCACAATTCTCTCTAAAAGACGTCAATATCTATCAACTCAACCTCTCAGATTCAAACCTGATTAACTCTACCGTTCGTCTCACTCTCTCATCCAACAATCCAAACAAGAAAGTCGGGATTTACTACGACGTGTTACAAGTATATGCATCTTATAAGAGTCAAATAATCACTCAAGAAACTTCGCTCCCACCTTTCTATCAAGGGAATGAAGAGACTAACCTCTTGAGTGCGGCTTTGGATGGATATCAGATACCAGTGGCTCCATCCTTCGGTTATGAAGTTGGACGTGATCAGAGAATCGGGAAATTTGTTTTGACTCTGAAGGTGATCGGACGACTTAGATGGAAGGTTGGAACTTGGGTTTCCGGGAGGTATAGGTTCAATGTAAACTGTATAGCTATTTTGCCATTCAATTCCATACCATCAGGCCCCTTGAGCTCCAAGCAAGGGACGGTGTGTTCTACTATTGTTTGAACTATATAATCAACTGAAGTTTGAATTACTTAAGCAGTATTGAGTGATAGGCTTGGAAAATGGTAATTAAGAGTGTGTACAAATAAAGTTGCATTTCTTGCATAATCTTTTGTTCTTCATTGAAATATTTTAGGTAATATAATTCAATATGCTATTCCGAGTTTAAGCATAATCTTGGCTTAGAAATTTCCAATTTCCATGTGAACAGTCTTTAATTATTGAAATGTCATAGGGAGACTGACTCCAGCAGACAACTAATGTCCCTTTGCTATACGACGACCGACTGCTGGGAGTTGTTTGTTTTGTCCCTCAAAACTCGTATGTTTTAATCTTCTTTTTAGCTTTGCACTACAGTATGTACACTGCTCGTATTCAATAAATCATACGTACCCAAAGCAATACAGAGTGAGGATAGACGGCGTCTAAATCAATACAGAACCTCGATTCCAAATTTTTTAACTCCACATTTCAAAGATAGACAAAGTTTACTTCTTTTCCATGTCCTTATCTTACGTCAACAAAATTTAAGCCATTTTCTTCAATTATAAATCATTTCAGCTCTCGCCTAAACACTAACTCATTTTTTATAATTATTTTGTAATAAAATATTTCTGAGTATTGAGATTTATTAGGATTTGAAATTTAGTTTTTGAAATGTTGGATGTGGTGCTGGTTTTGAACAAGGATATACCTGAAAAATTAAAAAATAAAATTATCGTATCTACTTGTGAACATAAAAAAGGTCAGGGAAGAGGCCTTAATGTCAGTAGCTGCCCTTCTTGAGCTGTCAAAGGCATTAACAACTATGGGAGAAGGCAACAAAGTGTGCTGAGAGCACGAAGACTGGATAAGGAAAAAGAACTTGTATCGACCAAGACTTTGGAGACGGCGAGGTTACCGATATAAGCAATGATGGGGAGGGCCCTAATGGGCAGGGATGGCATTTGTCGTAGGAATCTTTTGGCCCACCGTCCCAGCCCTCTTGCTTACTTTGAATTCGCTTTCTACGAGCCCATGTGCGATCGTGCAAATAGTTATACTGAACATTTCCCTGCACAAAACTTAATTATTGTTATATAATATATTAGCGTCTAGCTCACATTTAGGACAAACAATTCCACACGAAAATGTGAACTCTTTTTTTCAAGCTTAAAAGCAACTTTTTCTTAGAAGTTGCTTAAAAGAAACCCCATCACTTCCACTCCCTCCTTTACTCATCATATCAAGCTTCCCCGTCCCCCCTCTCCCTGCGAAAATGTCTCAAATCCAAGCAAAATCACCCAAACATTGTGCTAAGAAAGGATTCAGCTTCAACGAGTTTCACAAGAAACTCTTCTTCACTTTCTCTATATTTCTGCTCACTTTCCTGTCTCTTATCTTCCTTGTTTGGCTCATTCTACATCCCACAAAGCAACAATTCTCTCTAAAAGATGTCAATATCTTCAACCTCTCAGGTCTGAACCTGATCAACTCTACTGCACCTCACTCTCTTATCCAACAATCCAAACAAGAAGGACAGGATTTACTACGAGGCGTTACAAGTATATACATCTTACAAGGCTCAAATAATTAAGAGCGAACATTCTCTCCCTCCTTTCTATCAAGTTGTATTTTTTGCCTTTTGTTTTTTGCCTAAAAGCTTAAACTTTTATACTATATGATTCAACATTTCAACGTGATATCTGAGATCATGAATTCAACACGTGAAGATTTCACGTTTTATAAATAAATCTAAATAAGTGCACTTTTTTTCTCAAACAATTCAAACTTGTAAACATGCTTTTTACAAGTCAAAAGTTGGTGGAAGAAGCTATGGTCTTTTGTATAATTTCTGCAAATGGGTGCGGGTAAAACATTTCAAGATTGGTGTTCCGAAGAGTTATAAAATCGTTGATGGATGTGATTTCTATGGGGAAAATTCACGATAGGTAACATGACTTACTTTATTGTTATTGTTACTATCTGACGAGAACATGGCTTGGGAATTTCCTTTTTGTAGCCGCGTGAGAGCTGATGACAGGGAAGAACAAGTACTCATCATCATTCATCTTCTTAAGGGCTAGTTTAAATTTTTGATTGCTAAAAGTTAAAACTGAAATTTTTCTCACAATTAGGTTTCTTAGGGGCCCTAGAAATAATGTTAGTCAGCATTTATCCTAGTAGCTTATGTACCTTTTATGCGCTTAAAAAGCCTTTCAATACTAGCAATTTTATATGTCATACTTGATCTGCCCTGTGACCGGACAAGCAACTGGGAATTCCCTTCGCACCCTAACAATAAAAACTGACTTGGACGTTACTGGCTAAAATGGCCAGAACGTTGCTACCCACAATGGCCAGAACGCTGCTGGAGAATCAGCACAAGCAGAAATGGAGTAGCAGAATTGTTTGGAGCAGATGTATTTGCAACAATTCATCAAGGTTGCAAGCAAAAAGAAGGGATTCACTAAGTCCAATGACCAAAGTCAGGAGGAAAGGCAGACGAAGGCAGCTTGAAATGACAAGCTCAAAGGAAAGATGGATGAGCAACGAATCACAGCAGTCAAGATAGATAAAAAAGGGGAAATTTCCATTTTATATCGACATGAAGATCGCAGCTTGGAACATAAAGTCAGTTTTTAATGTTGCCACAAGTTAATGTTTCGCTAAATTCGAACCCAAATGTAATACTCAAGAACTCAAAGTACAGACTGTTTAAAGGGCCTCAAATTATTCATAATCAAAAGATTTTAAAATTGATAATCAGTTCATAGTGCTAAACATAGTCGTGGCTTCAAAGTCAATTGAAGCAGAGAGCAAGTTCATAAGCATATTTTGCATCTCACTGAGTGAGTGTTTGGCATGTCGCATGATAGTATAATAAACAAGATTTTAATTTCTTTCTTAGTACTTGTGTGGGAGAGATCTTTTGAGAAGTGATTTTTTTTAGAACATGTGGTTAGAAAGTTGGAAAAAATAAAGTAAAACGAGAAAAATGATTATTTGGGGAAATATATGATTGAAAATAAGTGTGCAAGAAAAGCGATTCTCAAAAAATCACTTTCAAACAAGGTCTTTATATTAAATAGTGCTATCCAATCCTCCAAAGCAAACATGCCACAAGGGATCACAGTAAACGCATGGGGTTATTGGGCTTCTACCTAAATTGAGATTTTACCTAAACATAAGTGATCTATGCACTCACACCTTGAGAGTCTAAGCTCTTCATCCTTCTACACTCCCAAAACAGTGGTTCAGATATTCCAAGTCCTCAGATGCAAAAGTTACTGCATCTAAGAACTTGGACCTTTGATAATGCATAAAGAACTACACGATGTGTCAAATTCAACATAAAATAAAAAATCTCATCCCCACCCACTGATAATCGCTACTCCTGAATCCTGATAGACCCCAGCCCTTCCTCCACTGTCCATTTTGAAGCTACATTTTCTCATCCACCTCTGCCATCCAAACAACAACTAGCCAGAAGTCCCAATATTTGCAATAGAAATGTCTCACCCTATGCCACCTCTACTTCTGTCAATTACTAGGTCATGCTACTTGTTTCATGGTTATTCTTTCAGTTAATATGGGGCTTTAACTTTTGTTTGGATAATCCAAATAGGATTAGTATAGAGTTGTTCAAACCTGTAACCCAAATTATACTCGTGGATGATAATTCTAACCCCATTTAAGGTAGAAATACATTCTAGCAGCCCGTACGGGGGTGCGGAGTAGACAGCATGGATCCAATCATTCAACAAAATCGGTTCAAATCATCTGCTAGGATGAATGGGATTGATTTCACCTCTCGCTTGCCCACCACAGCCATCGACATGTGCCCCATGCCTGCCATTGACATAATTTATGTTGCATATTGATAGAGGTTGACCTCCTTGCTTGTCTGGTATACACTATGAGTCCCTTTTTTCCTTTGTCGACAAAGACAAAATGTAGGATTGGTGTCAATGGTTCATCATGGAAGAGATTACTCACTAACCAAGGAGCACTTACTAATACTAACTGAATATAATAGAAAGGAACTTTACATCCATCCCAAACATAATTTTGTAATTAGAGGACCCTGGGCAATCTAAAAGCTAAAACTAATATCTAAAACCTAGAAGGATTTGAGAAAAGATTCAAAAGGTAGTGACAACATAGAGGATAGATGCTTTAGGAAATTAGAAATCTACAAACGAGAAAAAGACGAGGATGCACATGCAGACAAGACTATCAGCTTAAGCTATGATTGTGTAAATAGATGGTGTTTTTAAGAGTTCAATTCACAAATCAACCACACATGCTTGGCCAATGATATTTAGTTTCTCATGAGAACATTCCAAAATTCCTCCCTGCAATCATAATTCACTTGAATGTAATATACGTGTAATATACGCAAAGAAAGTAAGGAAGATCTTAAAAAAATTGAATCAGGAGTCAAGATTTCATTCTTTTGGTGTAAACTTAACAACTATACTTTCAGAGTTTCAGCATAAACATTATCATCCCCGTGTTCACAAGAACAAAACTTTCATAAAAAGGATACACAACAACTATTACTGTACCACTGACAAATATACTAACAATATCCAAAACTCAAGCTCCAATTGGGAGTTCGAAACTCACCTCATCCAGCAATTAAATGTCAAACCGAATCAGAATCGACCCACTTCCAGTAATGGGTTTTACAATGAACTGCGCTATCCGCTATATTCCTCCCCTCAAAATCTCCGTATTCCTCCACCTCCTCGGTACAGAATTCGCCTTCTGGCAACCACTCCACCTCAGCAACCACGGTATGCAATACATAACAAGCTGGCAATCCCGGATACGATGCAGAAGCCCTCTCTTCCACCCTCTTTACATAAGAATTCGGCACAATTTTCACTATGCCATTAATATCATAATTATTATTATCAAAACTCTGAAAATCCTCATTTTTAATTATGGATCCCAGCTCTTCCTTAACTGCTCTAAAGACGGCAGCCTCTACGGATTCTCCGGGCTTCATTTTCTCCGACAATGGACGGCACCGGGTACGAACGTCACCGTTGGACAACTCCTGGTGTGATTCAACAAGGACTTTTCCGTCATTTCGAATAATACGCACGATCACAACCTCAACGGTGCGGACGGGAGGGGTAGAATCGGCGAGCAAGGTTTCACCTTCCGAGATTTCGAGCCATAAGTTATGAACATTCTTCGTTCCCGGCTTGACCCCCCAAGAGGCGAAGGAATCGGAGGGAAGCCGCGGCTTGAGCCAATCGGATAAAGACTGAGGGGTGGCAAAGAGACGGTTTCTGGGGCTTGTAGGGTTTCGTAAGGGGGACGACATGGTGGGAAATTTGAGGAATCTTCGGAGGTTCAATGGGAAAGAGATTTTGTTGTTTGGGAGAAAGTAAACGGAGGTGGGTTTAGGAGAAGAAGAGAAGAGAATAAATAGAGAGAAGACAGTGAAAATAACGTCAGGGAGCGACTTCGTTTTATTAAGAAGATGATGGTGGTAAGACGACGGTGAAACTGGTAGCTGTGGCGGCGGAGACATGTCAATGAGGGATTTTGGCCTTCTGCTATTGGCTATGAAATTTTATACATTTTCTAGGTGGAATATTCGTTTATTTTTTATTTTAGTTTTGCTTTTCATCTTTTCGAAAATCTTCAGCATATTTAATCGGACGGGGCGAGGTTCGTCTCAATTTTCTTTAGAACCGAATCGAGAACAAATGATTATTAGTAATCGAATTATTGATTCTATATGTAATTATGAAACCAAATCGGCTGGTTCCACTAAGATTTATTTTGTTATTGAGCCAAAGTTCTCAAATTATTAATACAAATTATATTCAAAATTCTAACACCAAAAGTAAACAAATTTAAAAAGAATGATACTATTTGTAATCGCTTACTGTCGTATTCGTCCTACATGACATATATATGTCGATTAATGATTTGATGTACGAGTTAATAAAACGGTAATGAGTTACTGTAAAATAGTCTCATTCAAATGTAAATGATAAAGTCATATGCACATATTGACGAGTGATTTAATTATAAATTGATATAAATAAGTAATTGACAAAAGAGTAATACATGTATGAATCTCAAAATGTGTGGGTATAAAAGGTGACTTGAATGTTTACAAATAAACATAATTAATTAAAAATCAATTGGGTTATAACGATTTTTGATTCTTTGTTAGGTACTAAAATTAGAATTGAACCAAAATTGGCTAGTTTTTGGTTCTAGAAATCAAAATTGTCACGATTTGTCCCAAATCATCTTCAAGACTTGAAATGTGACACGTGTCATTAGTATATGTTAGCAAAGTGTCGGATCCATCACAAGGCTAACTTTGACTTGCTTTCACTATATTAAAATAAATAAATTTGGGTGATGGTTTAGGTGGGGTAATCGGGGTGGATTGGGTTGGAAAATGGGGGTGGTTGGAGAAGAAGATCTATTTGTAATTTTTGAAAAGATTTGGGACTCATTCTGCAATTTTCCCTTGTTTTTTTATTTAGTTTTATAAAGATGTTGTAAATTCATCATTTTACGTGGCCCATGTGATCGAGGACGAGTTTTGCTACATTTTCAAAATGTTGAAGATGTCCGATGTCAAAAAATGGTTGTGTGGATTAGTAACATTTTGCAAAAGTTGAGAATGAAAAGAGACAGAACCAAAGCTCATAATAACTTATCCCCCTTTTGAGGAATTTTTTTTTTATTATTTTTATTTTTTTCATTTCGTCATAACAATAACTCGACAATTAAAATTAGTGATATGTTGATTCGATGCTTTTGTCATTCAGTGGCCGGACTGAGTCTCATAATTGATAATCATACTTAGCCCATGTTTGACAATCATTAAATTAGAACTTTTTTTTCTCAAACTTATTTTCACAAAATAAATATTTTGTATATAAATCGAATTTTTTTTTTCTACTTTTTAACTACACACTCTCAAAAAATTCAATATTCCAAAACTTATTTATCTGTAAAAAAAAAAATTCATTTTAATGATTGTCAAATAAGGACTTAACATCGTTGAAAACAACAAACATGTTATTATAGTATATTTGGTATATACTGTCAACAAAATCTTTAAGATTTTTATTTTCTAATATTAATATATTATCGTCTTATTTGTTTACTTTACTAAAGATTGTACTAATTTTCATAAGGAAAATTTCATTAGTAAGAGATTAAAGGCCTTGTATGGGAGGGATTAAAATCGGATTAAAATTGAAAATATAGCCGTTATTGTTGACTTTTATTAGACGAGTGAAACCCAATAACGACCATATTTTCAATTTTAATTGACTTTTAATCCCTCCCGAACAGGGTCTAAGTATTACTTATTTCAAAATTAAGAAACAAAGTTTATGAAATAAATAATTAAAAATTTATTTTATTAATTAAAATATATTAAGATCGCAAATCTATACAATTTGATCACAATTATTGAATTAATTTGTCACAAATTATTTCTTGATCACTGAACAAATTATTTATGAGTTGCAGTTAAAAAATTTTATAGATCACAAATTCTTTATGGTTCGCAGATCAAAAAATTTATAGGTCACAAATTATTCTCGATCAAAAATAAATTTTTTTATAGATCACAATTTATTTATCGATCACAAAATTACAAATTTTATAAGTTACAACTTATTTAACGGTCACATATTATCAAATGAATTTGTCATAATTAATTTATCGATCACAACATAATAAATTGTAAGTCACAATCATATTTTATCGATTAAATATTATTTATTAATCACAAATTAACTACTTTATTGACTATAATTTACCAAATAATTGATCACAAATTATTTATTGATTACATATTAACCAATTCATTGGTTAGAATCAACAAATAATTGATCACAAACACTCCCCATCCCCACCCCCACTTCCTCCTCTTCCACCACCACCACACGTGTCAACAAAAACCATCACCACCACCGCTTGTATCAACAAAATCACCACCAATGCTGCCATTGATCCAACAACGCCACCATCAGATCCACTGTCGATCCAATAAAACCCACCTCCATCGTCAATCCGTCATCACCACTAGATCTACTACCATTGCCACCAACAAAAACCACCGCTACTACCATTCGGTGTGCGTGGGACCTTTATCGCTACAGTACCGCCACCAACCATTAACCAAGTTATCGATCACAACCACCACCACTACCATATATGACCATCGCCGCCACAACCATAGCCATCTTCACTGCCAACACAAATACCAAACGCACCACCACCAACAACATCAACATCAACATCACCACCACTCACCATTGCAGCCAACATCATAACCGCCACCACCATCACAAAGAAATCAAATCCAAATAGAGGGATACAGAATACGAAAGATATACCCAGATACATATACATGAGAGGACATGGAAGATAGTGGAGTTGTCAAATTAGACATAGGTGACGGTGACAATGACGACCGCTACATGCGCAATCTACATCACCGTTGTGCAGCGGTATTGCTGCAAGGCACGATTTGCAGCGCGCATATGTGATGTCGTTGTGCACCGGTCTTTGCTATTAGAGAGACGGTCGCAGGATATAGGGCTCTCAGGTAGCGACGATCCATTTTTTAAGAAGAGTGTATAGAGTCGGGAGAGAGAGAATTGAATGGGGCAGGATAGGAGAGAAAGGGTGAGATATAGAGAGAAAGGAAAGGAAGTAATGAAGAAAAATTTATGGGCTGTTCTTTTCATGTTTCAGTTTCGTGTTTTTAGTTTTGAATTTATTTTGGGTTTTGTGTTTTGAGTGTCCATTTTAAGATTGTTGAAAACGAGTTCTTTTTACCATTTTAAAAAATTGTTTTGAAAAATAAAAAATCCAAAAATGCATTTACTTTTTCCCTTGAATTTTTCTCACTCGTCTCTCTCTTCCTATCTTCTTGCCTCCTCTCTGTAACCTGTCGGAACTCCATCCTTCGGCTACCATCTTTATCGCGGACCACCACGTGTTGATTGTCCACCTCCGAGCGACTTAGAAACAGCCCTCAATTTAGTCCAAACAACAATTAATCGAAATAAAGGTCACGATCCAGTTTCGCGCATTCCAAAGAAATCTGTGATTTCGACAATGTCCGTTTAACCCATGGTCGCAGACTATATGGGTCGCCTTCCTCTCCCTCTGGCGCACCTAACCCAACCATGGGTCAAGTCTAATTTCAACCACAGTTCGCTGATTTTATGGGTGAACTTAAGGTTGAAAATTGAAAATTTATGATGGTGGTGGTTGTGGTTGGCGATGATGGTGGTGGTTGATGTTGATGATGGTGGTGGCATCGTGTGGTGACGGTTTTTGTGGTGGTGGCTGTGGTGTTGGTTTTGACGACGATGTTGTTGGTTGGGGGTGATGTTGCAGCTGTGGTGGTGGTTGGGGTGATGTTGGGGTTGGGGCGGTTGGTGGTGGTTGGGGTGATAGTAATTGAAAACAACGAAAACGCGTTTTGAAAATTTTGACTGAGTTATAACTGAAAACACTCAAAACGAAAAATTTGTCGTTTTGAGTTTTCTTTGTGCAGCTATGGTGGTGGTTGGGGGTGATAGTAATTGAAAACAACGAAAATGTGTTTTGAAAATTTTAACTGAGTTATAACTGAAAACACTCAAAACGAAAAATTTATCGTTTTGAGTTTTCTTTGTAAATTTTAAACTTATTTTCAAGAACGTATTTTCGAAAATAGGAAAGAACGCGTTTTCACTATTTTGAAAAATCGAAAACAGAAAACGACTTGAAAATGACAAAGATAATGTGCCCTTAGGGTTTAGGAATGAGGTGAGACTGGATGGAGGGTATGTTAATTAATTTAATTTTATCATATACTTATTAATGTTTAAAATTGTAATTATATATGATTTTTGAAAAAAAAAAAATTGTAATAGTTATGAAATGATATCTTTAAAACACTAAGTCCATGTAATTTCAACTTTTCATAATTTGAACAAATTTAAAAAGAAAGAGAAAAGAAGAATACATGGGCTGTACTTGGTCTGTTTTGGGCCCTTGCGAAATCCTATCCGATAAGGTGAACTGGATAAACATTTGTCTGAAAATTGACGTATATTTATAATCAGTATCAAAACATTTCGTAAACGAAAATGATTTATTTTGGGTCAGCTTAAAATAGGTATTGATAACAATAATTTCATTATGTGTTATTCTCATCAATCGTACTGTATAATCTATTCCTACTTTTATAACACATATATTTAAGAATATCTATTCTCTATAATTATTTTAAAAGGAAAATTTTAACAATTGCTAAACTTTGAAATTTATAAAATAAAATCACGGCCTATTTAATAAAAAATTCGAATAAAGTTAACATGAAGAATGGAGGAGTTTATCGTAGAATACCGAATGACTAGCACGGAAAATAAATTAATTTATTTGGTATTTTAACATTAGGTAATTGAAGAAGTTAAATCCAGAACTTGAAAAGCATCTATTTTATTGCTTGTTAAAATATGAGATTAGATGATATAAATTCTTCGAGATGAG